AATACAAACGAAACAAGCGTGTTTTGTATTTCTTGTCACTAAGATCATTTATAACACTATCTGGTTGTACTTAATGTTTAGTAGTTAGTTTAAACTGATTCCGAAAAGCATGGCTCTTGTCAGGCTCTAAAATCGAAATTTGGCTGCCAACACATTTTTTTTTCGTTCTGATGCTGATATTTGGCTCTTTTGACTAATGAGTTTGATTGGAAAATTAAATACGAAAATTATTAGATCTTTTTTACAACACCAATCACTTGTTTTAGATGCTTTACCAAGATGTGGACACCAATCACTTGTTTTAGATGCTTTACCAAGATGTGGACACCAATCACTTGTTTTAGATGCTTTTCCAAGATGTGGACACCAATCACTTGTTTTAGATGCTTTACCAAGATGTGGACACCAATCACTTGTTTTAGATGCTTTACCAAGATGTGGACACCAATCACTTGTTTTATATGCTTTACTAAGATGTGGACACCAATCACTTGTTTTAGATGCTTTTCCAAGATGTGGACACCAATCACTTGTTTTAGATCCTTTACTAAGATGTGGACAGCTATCACTTGTTTTAGATGCTTTACTAAGATATGGACACCAATCACTTGTTTTAGATGCTTTACTAAGATATGGACAATTAGTTGATTATGTTATGCTCCCATCTTCCAACACACCACACAAAAGTAAATAAATAATAATGATTTAAAAACATATAACTAGTCATGCATGCACGTTATGTTGAGGATCACTGATCACGTGGTTGTATGGTCACGTGGTTTCACCTTGCAAGTCTGTAGACATGTATTCTCGTTGAATTGACTGTAGAACGTTGGCCTTGTCATTTGAATTCTACAGTTTCGTTACATTAACAACATAAAGGTCATTCTTCTAAAGACTTTTGATGAGTTGACAGAAATTGTCCTTATATTTATGATAGACACGTACTAATGTCTGCTTTATATTACATACATCCTAATGTCTGCTTTATGATAGACACTTCCTTATGTCTGCTTTATGATAGACATATCCTAATGTTTACTTTATGATAGACACGTTATAATGTCTGCTTAATGATTGGCACGTCCCTTTATGTTAGGCACATCCTAATTTCTGCTTTATGATTGATATATCCTGATTTCTGCTTGTTTTATAGACATATCCTAAGGGCCGGTGTTAAAACACTGACGTCCTTGTACCGGTTACTGCAAAGGCTTACAACAAAGCGATGAAACATATAATTGAATCTCATGCCACTTTCAAAATCTGGTGACGTCACAACCCACACAATCAAGTGTTACGCATAAATCTTTGACATGCATTTTTTAAATTATTTTATTTCATATTAATCAACAAAAGTCCCATCCGCGTTACACGGCCGATTATTTCATCAACTAATGTCCCACACGCTTTACACGGCAGATTATTTCATCAACTAATGTCCCACACGCTTTACACGGCCGATTATTTCATCAACTAATGTCCCACACGCTTTACACGGCAGATTATTTCATCAACTAATGTCCCACACGCTTTACACGGCAGATTATTTCATCAACTAATGTCCCACACGCTTTACACGGCAGATTATTTCATCAACTAATGTCCCACACGCTTTACACGGCAGATTATTTCATCAACTAATGTCCCACACGCTTTACACGGCAGATTATTTCATCAACTAATGTCCCACACGCTTTACACGGCAGATTATTTCATCAACTAATGTCCCACACGCTTTACACGGCAGATTATTTCATCAACTAATGTCCCACACGCTTTACACGGCCGATTATTTCATCAACTAATGTCCCACACGCTTTACACGGCCGATTATTTCATCAACTAATGTCCCACACGCTTTACACGGCCGATTATTTCATCAACTATTTCATGAAAAGACACAAGAAAGTATAACGCGCCAAGTGCACTTTTAAAACAAGAATCTCATTTGTCCTTGCAATGGGCGGCCATGTTATTTGTCCCTGCAATGGTCGGCCATGTTATTTGTCCCTGTAATGGTCGGCCATGTTATTTGTCCCTGCAATTGTCGGCCATGTTATTTGTCCCTGCAATGGTCGGCCATGTTATTTGTCCCTGCAATGGTCGGCCATGTTATTTGTCCCTGCAATGGTCGGCCATGTTATTTGTCCCTGCAATGGTCGGCCATGTTACTTCGTGAGGCGTTATCTTTCCTTGATCTTCCCCTTGAAAAACAGGAACAATTGATATTTGGGGGTAGCCATTTTGTTTAAACATCCGACACCCGACACTCGACACCTGACACCTGACACCCGACACTCGACACCCGACTTATACCCGGACCCGGCGACTAGCAGAGAATTGGGCCAAGGTATGTGCCGGGTGTCCGGGTCAGTACCTGGCTCAGCTGCAGCGGCCACCCTCCAGGAGGAAAGAACTCTTGTGGTGCACAAATTATCGTTCAAGTGGTCGCCCGTTGAATGATTAGTTTAGGATTTATCTATTAAAGTATCAAATACTGCAGTTGATCAATCATAATAACTTGTTGGCCATAAAATACAAATAGATTTATTTGATCTTGTTAACTTTTCTCTCGATTATTTCACCCTCAACCCCCGCCCCCAACCCCCCAACCCCCACACCCCCAGAAACCTTTTCAGTATGTTGCTAACAGCAGGGCGCCATGTTGGCGGGAAGGTCATGTGCTCCGGTGTGTTCCCTACTTTTATATCGTGGGCTTCAGCAAGTCTGGCACCACAGATCTCTACAGCCGTCTTGTAAGACACAGACAGGTTCTGTCTACCTCTAAAGAGAAGCATTGGTTCGACTACAGCAGGTTTATTGATGGACTAGGTTAGTGCCCAGTTTTTGATGGACTAGGTTAGTGTCTAGTTCTTGGTGGACTAGGTAAGTGTCTAGTTCTTGATGGACTAGGTTAGTGTTTGTTTCTGTTCAGATAATTAGCTACATATATATCTATACTAGGGTAGTTTCCGGGGGGGGGGGGCTAAGGTATCCATTACTATTGATATACACGGGAAGATATAGTCGGGATAATATACACGGGAAGATATAGTCGGGATAATATACACGGGAAGATATAGTCGGGATAATATACACGGGAAGATATAGTCGGGATAATATACACGGGAAGATATAGTCGGGATAATATACACGGGATTTCAAACAAAATTTTTAAATTAGATGTCCACACATTTGAGGATTGCATGACGTCAGAAATTTACTAATGTATATTCAACATGCTAGTGATGACATGAGCCATCTCCCGGTAATAACAGCAAGCCGTCGCCAAGGATGTCATGTATGGTTAAGAAAAATTACTTTACACATTCAAGAAACTGCCCAACCAAGAGAATCACTGTCAAAAATTTTTTTACTTCATCAGATAGAATAGAGAATTACACAGACATGTTTAGAGAGTCGAGTCACGTGATACAGTTTGACTTGACGCATGGCGGGAAGAGTGAGAGAATTTTCGGTAAGAAGCAAGTTGACCGTTTAGCTGACCGTTTAGCTGACCAGTTTAGTTGATCAGTTAGCTGACTGCCAGTTTAGCTGATCAGTTAGCTGGCCAGTTTAGCTGATCAGTTAGCTGGCCAGTTTAGCTGATCAGTTAGCTGGCCAGTTTAGCTGATCAGTTAGCTGGCCAGTTTAGCTGATCAGTTAGCTGGCCAGTTTAGCTGACCATAATTTTTATTAAAATGTATCTTTTGTTAATTGTATTGTATTGTCGTCTGCTGTAGAGGGCGTTTAATTGTCCTGTATTTTATTTCCAAGTCCAAACATTTCTTGTTACATTATTTGTTTGCCTTTTTAATCTTGGAAAATTGTTGAGTTGGTGGAAGTGACATGGAGAGGTGACACTAAGAGGTGACATGGGGAGGTAACATTAAGAGGTGACAAGGAGAGGTGACATTAAGAGGGACCAATCCCAATGATGGTAATTTAAATAAAATGGGGGAATGCATGAAATGACATATTTTGAGATGGTTTGGGTAGATAACCATATTTCAAATAATTTGAGAACTCTGTTAGATTTACGACTTTTGCAGTGTTTCTCAAATTGGGGTCCGTGGACCGGCGCCCGTTCCAGGGCCTTACATGGCCGGTCCACAAATATGAATATTTATTGTCGAATAAAAAGAAAATATTTATAAATTTGGCACCGGTCCCTGATTGGGAAACTATATATAACTATGATTTAACTTCCTTCTTACATAAATAAATAGAGTAGACACAATTTTGTAATTAATATTTCAGGGGACGCCACTCCAAGCACAGCTTGGCAAGCATTCTATTGGCGTTGTTACCAGGGCAACAAAGGAAGAGACGAGCCACGCATCACTAATGCTGACACCATTTTCCGATTATATCCACATGCTAAAATTATTTTCATGCTGAGAGAGCCAGCTGATAGGTAATTCATTTTTTTTTTTTTAAATTCGCCTTTTATTTTAAGCTATATATTTTAATGACATACGCTCAATAACTCAAGACTTAAATGACTTAAAAAAAAATAAAATAAAGATATATTTAAATAAAAATTGTTCTCTTCTTTTGATTTTTTTTGTTTTTTTTGTAATAAGTTGATGACATTATAATTTTGAACTTTGACTAAGATCATCAAATAGTTCCATTTCGTGTCATTAAGAAAGATAAAACAAATCTTTTTTATTGTTTGAACTTATACTTCCATTAACATACACTATGTTAAGAAATACAACATAAACATGATAATGGCCAGTGAGTTGATTCATTTTACTGGGTCAAACAATGACGTTGGCCTGCCCACTATAAGAAGATGATAATAGTATAATGAAGTTCCATCTCTTATGGTCTTATCAGTACAGCATCAAAAAATAAGTCAATGACACCTCTTTATCGCAGTAGCTATCAAATATCTCCACCATCCACCATCCATATCCACAGACTGTATTCCCGCTATCTGACCTGGCTGTACCAGATACCAGACCCCGCCTACAACGTGGACCCAAGCCCCGCCTCCTTTCATCGGTTGGTTATATCAGCCATAGAGAAATACATGGCATGCTTTAAGGCGTGGTCGCCTCGACATTGTGTCTATAACGGGACGCTCTATGGTCAAGTGGTCAGTATCATTGGTCCAGTGCTACTCTATGGTCAAGTGGTCAGTATCAATGGTCCAGTGCTACCCTATGGTCAAGTGGTCAGTATCATTGGTCCAGTGCTACTCTATAGTCAAGTGGTCAGTATCAATGGTCCAGTGCTACTCTATGGTCAAGTGGTCAGTATCATTGGTCCAGGGCTACCCTATGGTAAAGTGGTCAGTATCAATGGTCCAGTCCCAGTGCTACCATATGGTCAAGTGGTCAGTATCATTGGTCCAGTGCTACTCTATGGTCAAGTGGTCAGTATCAATAGTCCAGTGTTACCCTATGGTCAAGTGGTCAGTATCAATGGTCCAGTGCTACTCGACGTTTTGATCTGCTCTGTAGAATCGGTCTTTTATTTTCATTTTGAGACCATGACTCACATGGGGGGGGGGGAGAGGGTCTATCGTTTAACATTAGTTTAATCAATTTTTGGTCACCACATGGTACTCAGCCACATGGTACTCAGCCACATGGTACTCAATCACATAATGACTCACATGGGGGGGGGGAGAGGGTCTATCGTTTAACATTAGTTTAATCAATTTTTGGTCACCACATGGTACTCAGCCACATGGTACTCAGCCACATGGTACTCAATCACATAGAACTCAGCCACATGGTACTCAGCCACATGGTACTCAGCCACATGCTACTCAGCCACATGGTGCTCAGTCTCATGATACTCCGTCTAAAGGTACTCAGCCACATGGTACTCAGCCACATGGTTCTCAGTCCCATGGTACCCAGTCTCATAGTACTCGGCCACATGGTTTTCAGCCACATGGTACTCAGCCACATAGTACTCAGCCACATCATACTAAGCCTTATGATACTCAGCCACATAATACTCAGCTCTTACATGTGGCTCCAAGAAGTTGTAGGTCCTGTACCAGCCAGCTCCTTGAAGTCCGTATTTTGAAGCCAAAGTTCAAGCACTTGGCTAAGGGCTTAAACTGGTTAATATCTTCTCATACCTTACAGCTTACAGCACACTGTCACCTATGACAGATTGTTTAAAAATGTATTGACCAGGCTGTGTCAGCACTCACACAAACATCGAAGTATACAAGCCGAATGTGCTCCCTATGCTATGTCTGTGAAACGGGAGGTCTACCAACGCTGTGCAAGAATGTTGGAACCACTATTATGCAAGTCTCGGGGAAAATCCTAAACATCAAATGGCAGGACAGGATCCAGATCCCGAGGTACTCGCACAGGCAGGTCTCCCCAGATTCTTGACCATATGAATGCAGTCCAAGCATCGCTGGGAGGGACATGTGCAAATGTCAGACACCCGCTTCCCCAAAAGGAATATTCTGTGGTGAGTTCGAGCATGGAAGGCGGTTTGCTGGTGGACAGAAGAAACGCTTTAAACACACCCTTAACGCCTCACTGAAAGCGTTCGATAAAGACAAGACACGTGGGAAGAAGTGGCAAAGGCCCGAGCCTCGTGGCGTTCCTCTGTACAAAAAGACGTCATACCACATGAAGACAACAGAACAGCGGCTGTAGGGACGCCATACAACATGAAGACAACAGAACAGCGGCTGTAGGGACGCCATACAACATAAAGACAACAGAACAGCGGCTGTAGGGACGCCATACAACATGAAGACAACAGAACAGCGGCTGTAGGGACGCCATACAACATGAAAACAACAGAACAGCGGCTGTATGGACTCCATACAACAGGAAGACAACAGAACAGCGGCTGTAGGGACTCCATACAACAGGAAAACAACAGAACAGCGGCTGTAGAGACTCCATACAACATGAAGACAACAGAAAAGTGGCTGTAGGGACTCCATACAACATGAAGACAACAGAACAGCGGCTGTAGAGACTCCATACAACATGAAGACAACAGAACAGCGGCTGTAGGGACTCCATACAACAGGAAGACAACAGAACAGCGCCTGTAGAGACTCCATACAACATGAAGACAACAGAACAGCGGCTGTAGAGACTCATACAACATGAAGACAACAGAACAGCGGCTGTAGAGACTCCATACAACATGAAGACAACAGAACAGCGGCTGTAGAGACTCCATACAACAGGAAGACAACAGAACAGCGGCTGTAGAGACTCCATACAACATGAAGACAACAGAACAGCGGCTGTAGAGACTCCATACAACATGAAGACAACAGAACAGCGGCTGTAGAGACTCCATACAACATGAAGACAACAGAACAGCGGCTGTAGAGACGCCATACAACATGAAGACAACAGAACAGCGGCTGTAGAGACTCCATACAACATGAAGACAACAGAACAGCGGCTGTAGAGACTCCATACAACATGAAGACAACAGAACAGCGGCTGTAGAGACTCCATACCACATGAAGACAACAGAACAGCGGCTGTAGGGACGCCATACAACATGAAGACAACAGAACAGCGGCTGTAGAGACTCCATACCACATGAAGACAACAGAACAGCGGCTGTAGGGACGCCATACAACATGAAGACAACAGAACAGCGGCTGTAGGGACGCCATACAACATGAAGACAACAGAACAGCGGCTGTAGAGACGCCATACAACATGAAGACAACAGAACAGCGGCTGTAGGGACGCCATACAACATGAAGACAACAGAACAGCGGCTGTAGAGACGCCATACAACATGAAGACAACAGAACAGCGGCTGTAGAGACTCCATACAACATGAAGACAACAGAACAGCGGCTGTAGAGACTCCATACAACATGAAGACAACAGAACAGCGGCTGTAGAGACTCCATACAACATGAAGACAACAGAACAGCGGCTGTAGAGACTCCATACAACATGAAGACAACAGAACAGCGGCTGTAGAGACTCCATACAACATGAAGACAACAGAACAGCGGCTGTAGAGACTCCATACAACATGAAGACAACAGAACAGCGGCTGTAGAGACTCCATACAACATGAAGACAACAGAACAGCGGCTGTAGAGACTCCATACAACATGAAGACAACAGAACAGCGGCTGTAGAGACTCCATACAACATGAAGACAACAGAACAGCGGCTGTAGAGACTCCATACAACATGAAGACAACAGAACAGCGGCTGTAGAGACTCCATACAACATGAAGACAACAGAACAGCGGCTGTAGAGACTCCATACAACATGAAGACAACAGAACAGCGGCTGTAGAGACTCCATACAACATGAAGACAACAGAACAGCGGCTGTAGAGACTCCATACAACATGAAGACAACAGAACAGCGGCTGTAGAGACTCCATACAACATGAAGACAACAGAACAGCGGCTGTAGAGACTCCATACAACATGAAGACAACAGAACAGCGGCTGTAGAGACTCCATACAACATGAAGACAACAGAACAGCGGCTGTAGAGACTCCATACAACATGAAGACAACAGAACAGCGGCTGTAGAGACTCCATACAACATGAAGACAACAGAACAGCGGCTGTAGAGACTCCATACAACATGAAGACAACAAAACAGCGGCTGTAGAGACTCCATACAACATGAAGACAACAAAACAGCGGCTGTAGAGACTCCATACAACATGAAGACAACAAAACAGCGGCTGTAGAGACTCCATACAACATGAAGACAACAAAACAGCGGCTGTAGAGACTCCATACAACATGAAGACAACAAAACAGCGGCTGTAGAGACTCCATACAACAGGAAGACAACAGAACAGCGGCTACAGAGAATAAAAGACATGTTGCAAAAATCCATGTTAACTCTGCACCAGGAGATGTCATATCAATCACTTGCCATTACTACACAAGAACATGTGCCAGAATCGGTCTCATCAGCCATCTGTGCACCTATAGGCAGAATCGATCTCATCAGCCACCTGGGCACCCAAAGACAGAATCGGTCTCATCAGCCACCTGGGCACCCAAAGACAGAATCGGTCTCATCAGCCATCTGGGCACCCACAGCTATAAGGTGGTCATGGTTGATTTCCACTGCCGAATTATTTGACATATGTTATAAATTACGTTATACTTTAAAAAAAAAAGATTTCAACATCTCGAAACACATGAAGTTGTTAAGCTCAAAGTTGACCTGAAGTTTAATCTACAGCAATACTGAACTTATTACTACTGAACCCAATTGCAGATCTCATAATAAATAATCAAAGTAGAGGAACAAATAGAGACATATAAGAACCCAGGTGCCACAATAACTAATAAGCAGACATGGCATGAACCCGACCAAACTCAGTAAAAAAAAAAAGTCAAATAAAGATTTTTCTCTTCAAAATTGTACAGTTTCGGCGATGCCTATATAAGATCATATCCCACCCACTTCATCACAGATACCTAAGATCAGCTCGATCAGGGCGAATTCTTTCTCTTAAGTTAGGACATAAAGATATTAAAATTCTTTTGTTCCCCAGCCTGTACGAATTGACCAGCATGCTCCCCCAAGCGGTTACCAAATTTAAATGATCACTAATTAAGTTATTATTATCTCTAAAGGAGTTCATTGATTGCTGATGTATGCGCTAGAGAAATACTTTAGATGTCATGTGTTGACATTGATTGCTGATGTATGCGCTAGAGAAATACTTTAGATGTCATGTGTTGACATTGATTGCTGATGTATGCGCTAGAGAAATACTTTAGATGTCATGTGTTGACATTGATTGCTGATGTATGCGCTAGAGAAATACTTTAGATGTCATGTGTTGACATTGATTGCTGATGTATGCGCTAGAGAACTACTTTAGATGTCATGTGTTGACATTGATTGCTGATGTATGCGCTAGAGAAATACTTTAGATGTCATGTGTTGACATTGATTGCTGATGTATGCGCTAGAGAAATACTTTAGATGTCATGTGTTGACATTGATTGCTGATGTATGCGCTAGAGAAATACTTTAGATGTCATGTGTTGACATTGATTGCTGATGTATGCGCTAGAGAAATACTTTAGATGTCATGTGTTGACATTGTTATAATCGTAAAATGTTGTCTCGGTTCAAATATGTGTCATCTATAAATTGAATACGTAGGCTACAATGTATTCAAAAAATATTTCCATTTATTTGTATCAATAATAGTCTGATCTTATTACCAAACCTAAATTAAATACTAAACTCTAACTTAAGACTAATCTTCAAATTAATACTAAACTGTAACTTAATACTAAACTCTTCCATTTTCAGAAACTGCGACTCCAAGAAGGAGTCTACTCCGTATTTGTGAAAGATTGGCTTCGGGTGTTTCCTGCTGGTCAGATCCTGTTCTTGAGGTCATGTTAGTGCATGTGTATATGTCATGTATGTCCGTGCATCTGTATATGTCATGTATGTCAGTGCATCTGTATATGTCATGTATGTCCGTGCATGTGTATATGTCATGAATGTCCGTGCATCTGTATATGTCATGAATGTCCCTGCATCTGTATATGTCATGTATGTCAGTGCATCTGTATATGTCATGAATGTCCGTGCATCTGTATATGTCATGAATGTCCCTGCATCTGTATATGTCATGTATGTCAGTGCATCTGTATATGTCATGTATGTCCGTGCAGCTGTATATGTCATATATGTCCGTGCATTTGTATATGTAATATATGTCCGTGCATGTGTATATGTCATGCATGTCCCTGCATCTGTATATGAAATGAATGTCCCTGCATCTGTATATGTCATGTATGTCAGTGCATCTGTATATGTCATGTATGTCCGAAAAGCTGTTTATGTCATATATGTCCGTGCATTTGTATATGTCATATATGTCCGTGCATCTGTATTTGTCATGTATGTCCCTGCATCTGCATTTGTCATGTATATCCCTGCATCTGTATATGTCATGTATGTCCCTGCATCTGTATATGTCATATATATCCGTGCATCTCTATATGTCATGTATGTCCCAGCATCTGTAAATGTTGTGTATGTATTAAATGGGTTAGATCACATATCTTATTTGACAAATACTTCATACTCGCCTCGTCCACAAACCGCTCACATCAGAACCGTTCAATATTTAATAATTTAAACAAAGTTGTATTCAATGATCAGATTTGAGGATTACAAGCTGGACGTCCCCAGCACAATGAGACAAGTTTTACAGTTCCTCGAATTGGGTAGGTAGCACTATTCAATGGAACCTTTTGCAGACGAGATTTTCAATACTGAGTGTCACGCTGGAGTGAAGCTCACATTTCTATAGGAAATATAAAATCATGACAAAATAGGGAAGAGAACAACAAAATATGAGTTCCACCCAACATATTTTTGGACTATTTTTCTGGTGTCACCATAACGTCATCCGAATACAGTGCCTACACCACGTGACAGCACATAAATAAATAGAATGGCCAGATTTTCTAGTGAATGTTTTTAATCCGCAGAAATTCCCTATGGGCCGGATTGGTCGCAGATGGTTGATGAAGATGCGTTGTACACAAGGAACAGGGGACTTAACTATAACATTGGGCCAATGATGGCCGAAACTAGGATGGCGTTAGAAGAGTTCTATGCCCCTTTTAACAAGGAATTAGTGAACTTGCTCCAAGACAAAAAGTTTCTTTGGTAACATGTGAACGAATGAAATAAATTTGCATGAACTCTAAGAAAGGCTTTCACTTTTAAACATGCCTTATGTATAGCCTACATGTGGTGCCCTTTGCTGATGTTTGTATTTGTCATGTACAATGTCTTTGTGTCCAGTCTTTTAACATGTCCAATGTCTTTATGTCCAGCCTTTTAACAATGTCTTTATGCCAAGTGTACTAACGTATAAAGCCAATGATTCTGTGTCAAGTCTACTAACATATATCTCGTATACAGTATATATATTTCTCCTCTGGTGAGACTCGTGGACTGCTTCCTAATGGACTGCTTCCTAATGGACTGTTTCCTAATGGACTGCTTCCTAATGGACTGCTTCCTAATGGACTGCTTCCTAATGGACTGCTTCCCAATGGACTGCTTCCTAATGGACTGCTTCCTAATGGACTGTTTCCTAATGGACTGCTTCCTAATGGACTGCTTCCTAATGGACTGCTTCCTAATGGACTGCTTCCCAATGGACTGCTTCCTAATGGACTGCTTCCTAATGGACTGTTTCCTAATGGACTGCTTCCTAATGGACTGCTTCCTAATCAGCGCCTTTGGTATTGAGAGTATATGACAAATTATTCTAAATGTTTGGAAGAAAGTATAGTTCAATAATGAGTTTACTAGCGCGCAAAATATAATTTCCGATAACTACACTAAATGATTTTTTTAAATAACGCAACTATTTTCTTTTCGAAAATGAAATCGTCTCAATTTAAGTATTGTGTAAAAAATGTTCGATTTAAAAGTGGTTGGGACATGAGAATATTAATATAGTTCATGGGCGTGAAATAAAAAGTGTGCAGTGACGAATCACGGGGGAAGAGGTGTAGCAAAAATTGAGATTCTTAACTGTGCGTTACTTGAGTTCATGTTTTTTCAGTAGCTTTAGGAGATTGGAAGTTCACGCATTGCTGTCTCCGATGTTTGGCCAGCTTTATGAAGTACTGTAGTCAATAAAAATTAAGCAAGTACTGTGTACATCCGCATAGTGTGCACATCCGCAAAGTGTGTACATCCTAACAGTGTGTACAGCCTCACAGTCTCAGTGAGCATTAAACCACTGAAGAAATCATTGTATTCTTATGAGAGTTGATACCTAATGGTACACACAACCTGCACCCCATAAACATACTCATACCTATCAATAATAAATAACATACAACGCATGGGAAACAGATACACATTCGTAACATACACACATCAGTAACATACATATTTACATCAGTAACATAAATATACACACCAGGAACATAAAAATACACAGCAGTTACATAAATATACATAACAGTAACATAAATATACACAAAAATAACATAAATATACACAACAGTAACATACATAAACACAACAGTAACATAAATATCAACATTCTTAAATGAGACCAGTGAAGGTTTATGAATATTTTATTAAAAAGTTGCATTCAAAATTGATCGAATAAAATAACAAGAACAATATAATATCAATGTTATAAATTAAGTACCACTTTTCTATCAGTGTTATAAATTAAGTACCATCTTTCTATCAGTGTTATAAATTAAGTACCATCTTTCTATTAGTGCTATAAATTAAGTACCATCTTTCTATTAGTGCTATAAATTAAGTACAAGCACCATCTTTGTTGGATTCAAAAAATTCAAAAGTCTAGATTTCATAAACATTTTTTTATGATTTCTGAATTGCTACTCTCAACCCCCAAAATAACAAAATATCCCTTTTAATATTCCTCTAAAAATATTATGTTTAGTTAGAGGATAAAATGTTTCCTTCTTTAAACAATAACATTACAGGGTAAATATGTGTTCAAACATTCACTGTGAATAAATGCTTGCCTTCTCCTTAACACACACACACACACTTTATAAATGCAAACTTATATGTACAGGTAATAAGGTCATGTGTGCTCAAGGTCATCTCAGAATTTGATTATTTAATAGTCTTAATATGGCAGGTAAGCTTGACCTAAAAGGTTGGGGAGGGGGGACTGGACCAGGTGAGGCTAGCTAGTCCATGTGAGGTCAGCTACATGAGATTTTATAGCCACAATACAATGTATACAAATGCATGACACTTTTTGTCAATTCAACATTGCGGTGCCGATAACTGTAATAATTCTGGAGATTTTGAGCTCAAGAAATGTTTTAAATCAACAGTTTCAACACTGTTATAGTTCTTATTTTTCTGCTGTTAAACCTCATACTAACGTAAATACCAGCTTAAAGGTTGCATCTATTAACTAAAAACTAGGTTGCAACCTACCCACCCAACATCCGTTTCACCTACTGTTTTTCAGCGTTAGGTGGTCATATAGTCAAAAGTCAGAGAATCATCTTCTTCCTAGTTCTGGCTTACACTTCAGGGGAAATCCATTGTTTATGTTTATTCAAGATGAATGCTTTATAGTTTTCAAGTTCGTATGGGATAATGTTTGTGCTGCCTGTACAACAAAAATTATTTACATACCAGTACACGTTAAAAAATGGGCATTCGGGCATGAAATTCCAAAAACTTAAGGCGCCACCTGTCTGTAGGTCAACCAAAAATAACCACTTTGATAACCCCAAACCATGACCTATCCACCGGTGCAATCCTCCTACTGATGCAACCTAACCTATATGCAGCAGATTCATGTGCGCATGAGTTATACCAAGCAGTGGATCATCATGTTAATCTTATATCAACATCAATTCATCAAATCACTCACTGAAACTGCTCTTTTAATGTAACATCACAACACATCAAGTTCAACAATTTTTGTGGCTACAGGCTTAGGGTGTTGTACAACACTAATGCTGTTTGCTACATGTTCTCAAACAAGTCTCTGATGGTATGTCAACAACTACACTGTCAATGTTTGCATCAAAGATGGGGGCATTCTTCATCTGATGGTATGTCAACAACTGCACTGTCAATGTTGGCATCAAAGATGGGGGCGTTCTTCATCTGATGGTATGTCAACCACTACACTGTCAATGTTTGCATCAAAGATGGGGGTTCTTCATCTGATGGTATGTCAACAACTACACTGTCAATGTTTGCATCAAAGATGGGGGTTCTTCATCTGATGGTATGTCAACAACTACACTGTCAATGTTGGCATCAAAGATGGGGGCGTTCTTCATCTGATGGTATGTCAACCACTACACTGTCAATGTTTGCATCAAAGATGGGGGCGTTCTTCATCTGATGGTATGTCAACAACTACACTGTCAATGTTTGCATGAAAGATGGGGGGTTCTTCATTTACTGGGTAAAAAATATTGGCCAGTTTTGGTCGTTCTTTATCTGAATGATTGGCATCAGTTTAAACCACATAAAGCAGTGGTTCTCAACCTTTCTAATGCCGTGACCCTTTAATACAATTCCTCATGTTGTGGCGACCCCCAACACAAAATTATTTTCGTTGATACTTTATAACTGTAGAGTATATGTGTTTTCAGATTGTCTTAGGCGACGCCTGTGAAAGGTTCGTGCGACCCCCCAAAGGGGTCCCGACCCACAGGTTGAGAACCGCTGACATAAAACAAATGGTTCCCTACTATATATATAATGAAATGCTGGGGCTCTCATACTTTTTATGTTTAAGGACCACTGCTAAGGTTATAAAATCATGGGTAATGTAAATTCATATGCACATAATAATTTGTATTGTATTTTATCATAAGTTCTGGTTTACTGAGAATATGTCAAATAAACATATAACAGAGAATATGTCATATCAATATATAAGGATGTGTTAAATTATATTTGTTGACAATGTCAACTTAAGCAAGCTATGACACAATGTCAGTCAATGACTTAAGTCAACTCAAGCAAGTTTTGACACAATGTCAGTCAAGACTTCTGTCAACACAAGCAGGCTATGACACAATGTCTGTCAATGACTTCAGTCAACTCAACCACAATGACAGTCAATGACTTCAATCAATTCAAGCAAGAAATGACACAATGTCTGTAAATGACTTCAGTCAACTCAAGCAAGCTATGACACAATGTCAGTCAATGACTTCAGTCAACTCAAGCAAGCTATGATACAATGTCAGTCAATGACTTCAGTCAACTCAAGCAAGTTATGACACAATGTCAGTCAATGACTTCAGTCAACTCAAGCAAGCTATGACACAATGTCAGTCAATGACTTAGTCAACTCAAGCAAGCTATGACACAATGTCAGTCAATGACTTAGTCAACTCAAGCAAGCTATGACACAATGTCAGTCAATGACTTAGTCAACTCAAGCAAGCTATGACACAATGTCAGTCAATGACTTAGTCAACTCAAGCAAGCTATGACACAATGTCAGTCAATGACTTAGTCAACTCAAGCAAGCTATGACACAATGTCAGTCAATGACTTAAGTCAACTCAAGCAAGCTATGACACAATGTCAGTCATGACTTAAGTCAACTCAAGCACTGCCATAAACAGTATTGTAGTGATAGCATTTTCCTTTGTAGATATAATTAGATGATGATATAGTCACATGATGATATAGTCACATGATACTATGGTCCCATGATGATATAGTCACATGTTATAGTCACATGATGTTATAGTCACATGACAATATAATTACATATAGACCAATGATGATGTAGTCACATGATAATATAGGTATAGTCCCATGATGATATATTCACATGATGATTGTATTCATTGAATTAATATAACTGTCTAAAAAATAACAATAAATTTAATTTTTATTTTCTTGCATACAAAATTTTTGTACATTGCACCATTAAATGGAAATAAATATTTCTTGTTAACTTTTTAACGGTGAAGTTCAATGAATTATTTTTATTGATGTACATTATTCTGTAAAGTTGAGAAATGCTATTTGTATGTTCCCTTATGTGATAAGTTGTCAGCA